TGAAATAAAAGAGTTTCATGTCATGTTTCATTAAGTTTTTGTATCTTTTACATCATGTGGCCCGCGACACTAATGTTGGAAATTAAAATGGCCCGCAGATTGAATTAGGTTGGGCATCACTGATGTACAATAATGACAAAACAGTTTACCAAAACACAGTACACACACATAAGCTGACCACGACATTTTGACACACCAGTACAGATCAGTTTACAACACACAAAAAAAAAACAACAGCAACATAAATACACTGCTTGGTAGACACTGATTTTTTTAAGCAGGCCTAACTCTCATCTTTGAGGCCAAAAGAAAATCTACTGCCGAGGACAGACGTAGACAGTGAAAGAAAATCTAAATCAACCACGGGTGAAAATGGTTATGTCTATGTTGGATGTGTAGGTCGCAGCTAGGGCTGCGTAGACACGGACTCGAAGAGAAGCCTTATTATTTTTATTAATCCCTTGCTTCGTTATAGTATGTTTTATCTAATAAAACGACATTATTATGATACTTGTTTTGTCAGATAAAAGAAATAATATTTTAAAATTTCATCTTGATCCACGATTGGGTGTGGTAGAAATAATGTGTAAAATATGTGTACCAGACAGACGGAGCAATTAAATATAAGCTTTGTAAAAAACAAAGGATGCCAAATTATATAATAAATTCTTTGAGGTATATGCAGTGGCGTCACTACGGGGGTGCGGGCCGCCCAGGTTGACATCCACAAGAAGGTGACACCCGAGTGGTAAAAATGCACTTTTCCAAAATGCAACTTTTAAAAATAAAATTACTGCCTCGAATATCTCTTACAGTTCAGTATCAATATTTCCCAACCCTTCTTAATTTAATTCTTTTTGACCTGCAATCTTCCTACAATGAGAACAATAATGTGTTGTAGACGCCAGGATAAAGTTTCTGAAGCTCAGAAATGTAGAAAAATGCTTAGCGCCAGGGGTCTTGCCCCTAACAACTCTGAGTGAGCTAAAGGCGCTCTGCCAAAAAACTTATCTGACCAGTTTAGTGGCGAACGGAACATTGTTTGGTTGTAAAATTTTGAGAAACACAAAGACTTGAACTCCCTCTCGCGCCATTCAACGCATAGGGCTGCAAGCTCTCTCCACAGAATTCAATTAAAGGCAACTTTCACAGCCACTTCCCAGCTGGTGCACACAAAATTCTGGACTTCTAAAAAGGCGCGACGCCATGTTAGACGAAGACGGCCGTTTTTTTAATTTCCTCTTTTTGGTTTTTATGTTAAGGCTGACTTTGGTAAACGTGTTTCGTCTTGAGACTATATTTAACCAAAAATATAATTAATTAGTACCTACAGAGTATATCGAGTTTTAATCCGGCCTTGCGCAATGAAATGAAGTAGTAGAAGCCATTAGCATCAATGAAATTAATCAATTAGACAGACAAATATATCTACAGAAATAAGAGGTAAATCTTTCAATATTTACATTAAAAAAAACAACTTTTTTTGTCTGTAAGTGAAGACACAAATACCAAAAGTTGTAGGCCTATTTAAAATTTGATTATACCATAACCATAATCATGCTAGAAAGAAACACAATCCAACACTACTAATTCTTATATTCTTTTTTCCATTTTGTATCACTTTCACATTGGTACACATCATGCAGATGTTTATACATAGACCTAGATATTACAGACATCAATCTCCGTGATTTAAATATGATCAGGGAAAGTTGGAAGTCTGGATTATTTTCCTCCATCCCCAAGTAATAATAGAGACGTTAAATTTAAGTGCGATTCAGATTGTGTGTGCGTGACGTGATGTGATTCCAAGTTTGACTTCCTTGGTCGACTTTGTTAATGAAAATGTGATAATATAATATGTTTCGCCTCTTTATTAGCCCTTTTGAAGGCCTCCAAAGATTTTGTCTTGTGAGTGAGGTGTGCAGATCGCTTTTTCTCGATGCAAGGTTCCATATGTGCTAGATTCGCCTCAAACCAGTCTAAATTTTTGTGTTTTTGAGGCCCAAAGGCGGTGATTGCCGAACTGTAGATTACATCTCTTAATTTCTCCCATCTGATAGAGATGTCTTCTTCATCACTTAAAGAGAGGATTTAACTGTTCAGGAGCTCGCCAAAGAGTGCACACTTCTCTGGGTCACCTACATGGTTGACGTTAATTCGCCTAGTTCTGGGTTGAGTGGAAGTATAAGCCTTCTTGAGAAGTAATTTGATTTTGCTTAGCACTAGTGAATGGTCTGAGTTGCAGTCCGCACTATGGTATGAACGGATGTGGGTGACACTTTTCAGATCCATCCTTCGGGTGATGCAGAGGTCAAGCTGGTGCCACCTTTTTGAGCGTGGGTGCTGCCAAGAGACTTTATGGCGTTCCTTGCCAGAGAAGAATGTATTTGCTACACACAGTTCATGAGAGCTACAGAACTCGAGTAGCCTTTGGCCATTGTCATTGATTTTGCCAACACCATGAGGTCCCAAGCATTTTGGCCATGCATCATTTCCATCACCTACACGGGCATTAAAGTCTCCATTTATATAGAGGTGCTCGGACTTTGGAATACTTTTAATTACGTCCTCTAGAGCTTGAAAGAATCTGTCTTTGTCCTCTTCCGGTGCAGCAAGGGTTGATGTGTAAGCACAGATTATATTAACTTTGCCTTGCAGTGATGCAAATTTCACTTGTGCTACTCTTTCATTGCCAATGGGAAACATCGCAATGCAGGGAACGAGACTGTTTCTTATTGCGAAGCCGACGCCATGTATTCTAGGGCTTTGTTCTGGTTTTCCTTGCCAGTAGAATGTATCGTTGCTTTCTGTAAGAGATCCACTGTCTGCCAGTCTGGTTTCTTGCAGGCAGGCCACATCAATGTTTAGTCTGCTGAGTTCTCTGTCGATGATAGCTGTTTGACGCATGTCTGTGACGAGTTCAGGGTCAGTATTGAAGCCAGGACACATTGTTCGTATGTTCCAGCTTGCTAAACGCATTAATGTTGAGGGTTTTCTTTTGATTGTATGGTTAGAAAATGTGCTAACAACTTTTGGAGGGATACCTGCAACAGAATCCAAGACAGTCTCCACTCAGGAAATAGCAAAGCTCTATTTGATGGCATTAAAGGGGCCCTGGGTCCAACAGTGTCTAAACCTGCCCCCCTTCTATCCAAATCAGGAGAAAAAATTACAGATCAAACCAAGCAGCTAGAACGATGGACAGAACACTACCTCGAAGTCTATGCCACACAGAATACAGTAGACGATGTCGCCCTGGCTTCTCTACCAGATCTTCCAGTACTGGAATGCCTAGATGAGCTTCCGAGCCTTAGTGACCTCAAAAAACCATTAACTGCATAAAAAATAGAAAATCTCCAGGGAGTGATGGTATCCCAGTGGAAGTAGTGAAAGTCAACGAATCACTCCTGCTCCCTGAACTCTATATTCTCCTATGCCGCTGTTGGGAAACAGGTCATGTCCCACAGGACATGCGTGACGCAACTATAGTCACAATATACAAGAACAAAGGGGATCGGAGTGACTGCAACAATTACAGGGGTATCTCTCTCCTCAGTATAGTGGGCAAAATCTTTGCTAGAGTGGCACTATCCAGGCTGCAAGTGATAGCTTCTAGAGTCTACACAGAGTCTCAGTGTGGATTCAGGAGTGGTAGATCCACTATAGACATGATATCTTCTCTACGACTATTGCAGGAGAAATTCAGAGAGAAAGACAGACCCCTTTACATCGTTTTTGTTGATCTGACCAAAGCTTTTGACATGGTCAGCAGAAGTGGCTTTTTCAAACTCCTGAGGAAAATAGGTTGCCCTCCCAAACTACTGAAGTTCATTGAGTGTTTTCACGAGGAAACTAAATGTACTGTCAAATTCAATGGAGCCCAATCAGCACCTTTTGAGGTTTGCAGTGGTGTCAAGCAGGGATGTGTGCTCGCACCTACTCTGTTTGCATATTCTTCTCCTGTCTACTGCATTATGCGTACAACGACATAAACGAAGGTGTGTTTTCCATACAAGGCTGTATCAAGGCTGCGGGCAAAAACAAAGGTTAGGAAGCCACTCGTCAGGGAACTCCTGTATGCTGATGATGCAGCTATTGTGGCTGATTCTGATATTCAGCTACAGTCCCTGGTTGACAAACTAGAAGTTCGGCTTAAACATCAGTCCAAGCAAGACTAAGATACTTGTCCAAAACACAAATACTGCATCTCAAGTAAGCATTAATGGCCAACCACTAGAAATTGTTGATCACTTTTGTTACCTTGGCTCCATCATATCCAACAACACTACTGGATAGAGACATAAACAACAGAATAGCCAAGGCAATGGCCACCATGTCACGGTTGCAGAAAAGAGTCTGTGACAACATATTGCTGACTAGCTGAGCACCTTGCTGTACGGAAGTGAAACATGGTCAATCTACTCATGGCAGGAAAAAAAGCTGAATGTCTTCCACCTCCGATGCCTAAGGCGGATCTTTAAAATAAGGTGGCAAGATAAGATAACCAATGAGGAAGGGCTACAAAGAGCAGAGTGCCAGGACATCCGCTCTGTTATCAACAGCAGACGCCTTGGCTGGCTTGGCCACGTTCGTAGAATGCCAGTAGGTCGACTTCTACAGGACATCCTGTATGGCGATCTAATAGAAGGCAGGAGAGCCGCTGGTCGCCCACTTTTACTTATACGTATGTATGCAAACGCGACATGAGCTCTTCAAAATCGACACTGGCAACTGGGAAGAGGTGGCACTGGACAGATCCACATGGAGAGAGAGCATAAAGGAAGGGTCATAGATTGCAGATGTCATACACAACAGAAGCAGAAAGAAGGGTGAAAATGCAACGGCGCCTGATGATTATATATGCCCAACCTGCGATCGCAGCTGTGTATCAAGGATTGGCCTCTTTAGTCACACAAGAAGTTGCAAAGGGAAAAAATCGTCTCTCGAGACGTAAAATGCCACAGATAATGTAATATAAACAGTTAGAAATGTGAAGCCTTCTGCGCTACAAATGACTTTAATGAATTATGAGTAAAGAACATGGTTAAATTAAATTTTTACAATTTTGCTTAAAAACATAAATATACAAATTACAAAACAGTTATGCTAACTAATTTTCTATCCCATTCATCAATCGCTCTTTTCATTCTAATAGCTAAATTTATCTTTAGAAACCTTTAACGAATCGGGTATTTTATATTTAATATGAATATATCAGCTTAACAGGAAAACCCATTTTCGCAAAACTACTTCTATTTTCGTGGTGAAAGAGATAAACTTAAAAGGAACATGAGCTAAGTTTGACATAGATCTAAATCAAATCCACTAGATTAGTAGCCTAATAGGCCAACACAAAATAAGGCCCGCAAGACGAGGGTAATATCAGGCTAGTATAATAATAAAGCAATTAATCCTAAAAAACAATTTGCTTTAATTTTGTGATTTCTATAACCAATACATAAATTATTTGGTCTAACAGAATACCATATACATTATATTTCATGTCCTTTTTTTTTTTTTTTTTTTTTTTTTACATTGCAAGCACTAAATTGTTATTTAGTCAGAAGTGACTTCTTTCTCAATTATCAGCATGCTCATAAAAGAATTCATCTTTGGAATTTATTCACAATGAGCATGTTACAATGCATTTTTTCGAGTTGATTCTTGAAGTCTATTAATGAACAAATTAACCCAATGAAAAGTACATTGAAATTAAAATAGTAATACATTTTTTACACTTTAGAACTTTTCATATTGCTACTGTCAGTGTTACAAACGTAAGGTAATTATTAAGTTGAAACATCAACAAAAGAAACAAATCAATAAATAAATCAATATTCTAATTCTATAGTTAGGATTTCACCATTCTTAGTTCACTATGTTCTCTCATATAACAAAATAGTGTATTTAGTGCTGTTATGCTATATGAAACAGTTACTAATTTAAAAATGTAGTCACTTTTTTAAACATTGTGTTACAATACAAAAAATGGTCAGTAACAACTTGGTTAGTACACATGACCATCTTACTGGCAACAAAACTGTGACTTTTCCTTGCATGTAAACATAAATCAGTCATTTTGGGTCATTAACTATTATTAACATTATGTATTCATTATGCAAACCATTAAAAAATTAACTTTGGAAGAAGATGATGTGATGATTAGGTGATTACGTAATCATTAATATTTTTTACAAAGGTTATATCAATTCTGTCTATCTGGTACAATTTCTTTTATGTCATTTCTCCCAAACTCATTCTTGGATCAAGTTGAAACTTTACACAATTATTTAACATGAATCAATAAGAAATTGAGCCAATTAGTCCATTAAGTATTGGTAATTAATTATTTTGTTTAATATTGAAAAGGAGAAATAAATTCTACAGTATTGAGAAATAGGGGCTGTAAAAAATGAATAATTCTCTAGATAAGTTTTTTTTTTTAATAATTTATTTTAGCTTGCTGTGTGTTATTTTTATCTTATACCATGAACATCACTCCAACCAAACAAAAAAGTGATTGATATAAATTGAATACAAAGGATGCCAAATTTCCAGGTAACCAACCAAAACAAAAAATGGAAACAATATATTAGTGTAAATAAAATTGATACAATTAAATTGAACACTTCATGCATCAATAAATATTTAGGCTCAATTATATGTAAAATTATATTTATACTTTCAGGCTTAATTACTGTATTTTAATCTCCCTTTCATTGCTAATAATGTGGTCTAATTATTATTTTTACATAAAAAAGAACACTTTTTAGTACTTTGAAAATAATTTTTATGATAAAAATGACATTCGTGATGCTATAAAAGGATGTTATGTTAATGTCACGCAATGAAACCCAAAATTCTCTACCTGTATGGCGACATTTATGCACAACGCAATACAGCAGGGTTTCTGTCCAGGGCTTTTGCAAGAGAGGATTTGAGCCTCTCAAGCCTTCACTCTAATGGAGTTTGATGATGATGATGATGATGATGAATGTCACACACAAAGATATTATCTCTTAACCAGTTAAAAAAACATACCAGTAAAACTATTATATAAAAAAAGAAAGATGAAATAAATAAGGTTACTATTTGTGACTCTGTAGCAATAAAAAGTAACAATTGTAAGAAACTAAAGTATCATTATATGTTAAAAAATGGTTTCAAGCAAAGTGTTTATTTTTATTTTTGATATTCTAAATTTTAATGTGATTTTAAAGTTGCTTTTTTAAGCATTTACACTAAGCCAATAAAATAAAAAAAAAATTTAGGTCATATATTATAAGTGTCTAGGATAAGTTAAATGTTGCTTTTTTAGACTTTTCATATCATTTATAAAATTATCCAATGCACATTTTTCTTTTGTTATTACACTTTCAAAAGTCACTCCTTTCCCTTTTAGTTCTTGAAGCACTCTTTTCAAATAGCTAGGATCTGGATAACCATAGCTGTAGATAAAAAAAAACATTCTATAAATACTTGTTCACCATAAGAAAAAAAAGGATGTTTCAATGTAAATATAGACTTTAATCACTATTGCATATCCTAGCCATTACAGAGTGATTCCAGGCAGATATATAGTAGGTCCACTTTGAAACCCTATAGTCTAGTGGAGATAGCTTTCTCCAAGCCATAGCTTAACAGAGACTAGGTCCTGCAACCTCCTTTGTTTAAAAAGTTAATGTTGTTCACTTAACCCTTTTGTCAGCAACCTTGGTTTATGTGGTAATTAACATTTACTCTACATTGTTTACTAAATGGAAACATAATTAAAAAATGAATAAACATTTTATAAATTTAATTTATGGATTTTTGTATAACATTAATTGGTTACAATAAGTTTGAAAAAAATTTTTTGAGCTTTTAACATAAATATGATTTGGATAAACATTTTTAAAAACTATATTAGGTTAGTTGATATTGTTTTTGTTTAAAACTTAAAATTGCTTATATCAGATTTGCAGACTTATTGAAAATCAGAGCCATTGAAGCCTATTTAAAAAAGATGAAAATACTCAACTTAGCCTGAGATAATTCTAAAAGGATAAAGAAAGATTTTATTGTATTTTCAATATTTCAAGTAGTTTTCTTTTTTAAAGTGAACCTAGCAAAAACTTACACATAAGCAATACCTAACAAAAAAGTATTAAATATTAGATCTTCAATTTTTTTTCTTATCTGATGAAAAGGTCATCTTTTTTTATAGCCCACAGTTAACCATGGTGTCATGTGGCCAGCACAATGACCGACCCCTTTTATTTTTCCCAAACTAATGTCATCTACCCTACCTATTAGAGATGGACTGACTCAGAGGTACCCTAAAGATATCCTGTTTTCACCAGGAATCAAACCACGCAGCCACTGTGACACTTGGTCAAAGGGAAGGACTTCTTCCAGAGATCATGCATAAGAAAATGGCCATTTACCAACCTCATCACCTATTAATTACATGATTATCTAAACCCCTCCATGAGGCCAGGCTTACACTGAAACATACCTTCATAACAATAAGTTCATTGAATACTTAAAAATATAAACAAGAATAAAAAAATAATGAGAAAAGCATCAGCAGAATAAACAATACAAGCACATATTTAGTTTCTATGGAGGGAGGTAGGAATGTGGTTGGTGATAGTTTGTACTTCATATCTTCTGATATAAGTGCTGAAAATATTGAAACCTGCATTTGTTTACCAAACAGATGACTTTAGTGTGGCCCATCTTTCATGTTTTAGCATGTTCAGTTTGCTAACTTCCTATCTCTTTTGTAAACATTAGATGGATTATGCCAGTCAGCCACATATATAAATGTATTTAGATATTTAAATAAGTAAAATGCACAACTTAAAATCATATATTTCAGAATCCCACCTCCCCCCAAAAAATCCTGGCTTTGCCCATGAGTGATACTGTTGTTTGTTTGTTTTTAGATTTAACAGATAAAAAAAAACAGCAACAAAGAAACAAGGTTACAAAAGACAGTTTGTGTGGAAACACAAACTCAAAATCGGCCCCCGAAATGGTCCACCCAGGCAGGCTTCAATATTTTCAGAAAGAACATCCAAATGAAAATATTTCAAAGACAAATGAGAGATAAGAATGGAGGAAGAAGGTTAACAGATCTTGTGTAGTGCCCCAACGGTCCCGCGGATCAAAGAATAGGTGAAAGTGAATGTAAATTTAGATGTGAACCTGGCCTAACTAGTTCCCCTTTTAGACCTTGTGGCAGATGATGTAAAGTTCATCTTTTTTTGTGGCCTACAGTTAACGAGGGTGTCATGTAGCCAGCACAATGACCAACCGTCTTTACTTTTGCCCAGCTAATGTCAGGTACCCATTAGAGCTGAGTAGACTCAGAGGCTCCCAAAGATTCCAAAGTTGAAAATCCCAGGATTCGAACCCAGTACACCCGGTTCGGAAGCCAAGAGCTTTACCGCTCAGCCACCGAGACTCCCCTGGCCTAACTGATGTCTTATAATTGATCTAATTGTTTTCAAAAGTCTCAATCTCTTATTGTTTTATTTTTTTTTGGTCAAGAAATTACAATTCATTCAATATCCAATAATTTGTAGTCATTTTCAAAAACATAAAAATAAAACATGAGTGGTCAAGAAATTACAATTCATTTAATATCTACTAATTTGACAACGCTAAGGTTGTCAATTGTAGTCAAACTGAATTTAAGTTATCTTATCTTGTAGACATTTTCAAAAAAATTAAACGAAGCAAAAAGAACTCTGTAGTGTAATTGTATCCAATTAGTTTATGTTTCCTTTTAAGCACTTGGCATTTGTCGTTGTCACTTTATGGCTAAAGGGGACATAATGTATTGAACTTGGTGGTAGTGCGAAGAGGGAAAAAGTGACTGATTCATCCTAAGCCTCCATTCTGTCTCGTCAAATAGTATTTTAGACATATAATAATATTTAATTTTACACAACAGAACATCTTTTCTATAAAGTAATACAGAGAAAAAGGACTTCCTTGATAAGTAGACTCAGTATTATTGCTTTAACAGTAACAATCTTCAACATAAATGAGTTCATTAACAAAGTTGCACAGCAACATTAACAATCATTCAGGAAATTGACTTTGAAGCAATGCTATGTTCCCAGGTAGTAGCAAGTAATTAGGCAAGGCAAGCCAATATAGGGTTTTATACAGCTGCCCTGTATGCCGTATGTATTTAAAAAAGACTGATCAGGGAACAGGTTAATCCCTCTCACGACAATTTTTTAAAGGTCTCCTTGAGATGTAAGAGTGTCACTCTAGCATCATTAAGGTGGCCCTAGAATCTGCTAGAGTCATTTTGGGATAGTTAACCAAGCAAAGGTACTGCTGTTTCACAATTGTTCAGGGTTCTGTTAGGGTCATGTGTAAATTATTTCAGGATAGGGGTGTCGATTAAAGATTCTTTTTTCTCTCATTACGAGGGATTTAAAAAAAAATTAATAAATAAATAAAATTTTAATTTGTCTTAAAATATTACATTATTCATAAAAGATTCTTGACTTTCAATTGTCTGCCCTTGT